CGTGATTTCTCTCGCTGAAAGTGATACCCAGGTGAAGTTCCTGAGAAAAAAAACAAAGTGCTTTGTTTTTCCTCAGGTGGAAGATATATCACTTGTAGCAAAAGAGGATATCATTAAAGTATTACCCGCTCCACATGTTAGGAGGGGAATGCATAATTTTAATATCAAGTTTCCGCAAGATATCCAACATAAATTAAGGGAAACTGTACAATTTTTGCCCTTAAACAAAGTACTTTCTCATTTTGTGGTGTGTCATTAGACCCTTCTGAAGTTATTTTGTTTTCAAAATTATGAAAATTAAAATAAAAAAATTCAGAACTGTGTTCAGAAAAGCCTAATAAATAAGTGCACTTGCCCCGTAATTCAATGCAAGGAAAATATATAAAACTATGCCCCGGAGACGCACTTGCCCCAAACTGACGGGGCAAGTGCGTTACTGCGATATGTAAGAGAAAAAGAATTATAATTAATAATCGCGAAAAGCCACAGATTTTGAATCTTCTCTAAATAACGATCATTGTCAAAGTACTTAGTACACGTATTATCGATTTGGCAGAAATAACCCAATTGACGCATTGATATAATTAAAACCAAATATGAATAAAAGGGGGCGCACTTGCCCCACCTTACCCTACTGAAAGAAATCATGTCCCATTTCTTTATCCTTCCGAAATATAGTTTCCTACTTCCTCCTGATGAAGGGCAGCAGCGATCATCAGCACCAGTTCAAGGCGTAGAGGAAACGATCCTGGACTGGCTTGAAACTGGATTACCACAAGCATGACTGGAGCAGTTTAAATGGTTGTGGTACTGCGATGAGGAAGGCAACGGAAAAACCACCCCATTATATTTTCCACAAATCTAAATGGCAGACGAGAAAAATATGGCCCTCAGTCCGGGGCACTCCTTAAATGGGGAGAGGATGCGAAGAATTTCTCCGTCAACTACCCAAGAAAGTGGACAGAGAATACAAATATACGAAAAAATAGTACGCAGCTTATTTATATCTGGGAAACTGGCAAACACTGAAGCCGAGATGGTAAGACTGAAAATAGACATCTTGGGGATGAGTGAAGTGCCTGCCTGGTGCAGGAGTACAAAAAACAACACATTTATACATATATTATTCAGGTAAAACTGACCCAGAACATCAATATGGAACTTCTATATTAGTGTCATTTCTATATTAGTGTCATCACTTTAACTAATAAAGTAGCAATGTTAAAATTACAAACAACTCACAGAAAACTAAATATTATTCAGGCCTATGCTCCAACAAGTGACAAGTCAGACGAAGAACTCGAAAAATTTTATAACAACATAGATGAAATAATGCGACTGACAGAAAGAGGTGAGATAATGATGATCATGGGTAATTTTAACGCTAAAATTGGTCGTGGTGCTAAAAGAGACCACATAGGAGCATACGGTCTAGGTAACAGGAATAATAGAGGAGATCGACTTGTACAATTCTGCGTAGAAAACAATCTTTTAATAGCCAATACCTTCTTTAAACAACATCCTAGAAGGATATACACATGAAAATCGCCTGCAGATAGAAAAGACTTATTTATCTTAGACTATTTTGTTCAATAAAACTTTTAAGAAGTACATACAATCTACGAAAACGTACATTGGAGCTGACATACATAGCGATCACAATCCAGTTATAATGGATTTTATATTAAATAGACTTCTCAAAGTCAAAAAGAATACAGTGACAAGAAAAATAGACATATTACAACCGGAGAACCCTGAACAAAAAAAAAAAGAAATAAGTATCAAGCTTGAGGCCAAAATAAAAACGATCGAAAACTTGGTACAGACATTAAACTGCTCTAAAAACAACAATAACAAGGATACAAAAAGAAGACATTGGGTTTATAAAACACACAAAAAAACATGAATGGATATCGCAAGAGACCTCAAGGACGTAAGATAAAAACATAAAACAAGCCAAATAGAATACAAGCAAATCAATAAAATCATTAAAAAAAGTGCAGGGAGGCGAAAGAAAACTGGATGTCAACAAAATGCCAAAAATCGAACAGCTTCAAGAAAAATATGACATCTTTAATATTAATAAAAAAGTAAAAGAAATGACAGGTAGACACGAAAAGAGACGAGCAAAAATATTAAAAAATAATGATAACGAAATAATTATGGGTACAGAAGACAAATTACAGAGATTGAAGGAATACATACAAACTCTATTTGACGACAATAGACCTTGTTCTCCATCATCCACAGATAATAGAATAAATAAAAAAGGACCAGAAATAACTAAAGAAAAAGTAATTTATGCAGTAAAATGTCAGAAAGATGGAAAAGCCACCGGTCAAGACAATATCAATGTCAAAATACTAAAACTAATTACAGATAACGAAAGTAAAGCCTAGACTTAATAACAGCACTATTCAATAAGATATATGACACAGGCAAACTACCAACAGACTGACTAAAATCAACATTCGTAGCATTACCAAAAAGATCGAATTCCTCACAATGCGATGATTATCAAATATTAAGCTTGATGTCTTATCAATAAAAATCAACCGAGGAGTAAGACAGGGAGACATCATACCTCCAAAACTATTTACTGCCGCACTTGAAGACATCTTTAAATCACTAAATTGGGAAACGAAGGGACTATCGATAAACGGAAAGTATTTAAACCATCTAAGATATGCAGATGACGTAGTACTAATAGCCGACAGCTGGAAAGAACTGAAGACGATGATCGATGAGCTTCATACGAAATCCAGAAAAAAAGACTGAAAATGAATCTGAGTAAAACTAAGCTAATGTCGAATAAAGATGATCAACCGACGATAACCATCTAAGGAACAAAAGTGGAACATGTAGAAGAATACATATATTTCGGACAGAATATCAAGGTAAACAAAGAAAACATAACTACCTAAATAAGCAGACGAGTAAGAATGGGATGGGCCGCATTTGGAAAACTCTCATACATACTAAAAAACAAAAAGATACCCCAAAACCTTCGAACCAAAGTGTTCGATTCTTGTATCCTTCCCGTTCTCACTTACGGAGCTCAAACCTGGACATTCACAAAAAAGAACATGGACAAGATTCGAAAAACTCAGCGAGCCATGGAACGACAGATGCCTGGTATCTCAATAGATCGGCAAACGAACGAAGTAATCCGAAACAAAACAAAGATAAATGACGCCGCGAAACAAGCAGCTAAATTAAAATGAAAATGGGCTGGACACAACGAACGTCTCGAAGATGGTAAATAGAACAAAGAAGTCGGAAACTGGCGACCGTACGTTGCGAAGAGACCAAGAGGAAGACCTCAAATGCGCTGGAGCGACGATATCAAAAGAGTCGCAGGACCAATGTGGAAACGCCTAGCACACAACAGGGATGAATGCCGAGAAATGGGAGAGGCCTTTATTCGACAATTCGGATAGAAAAAGGGCTATGAAAAAAACAAAAAAAAAACTGGATGTCCTATGTGCTTAAAACTTTTCTCATAATTATAAATATACACGAATTTACAAGAAGTGCGAATTCCAGATGAGTGACACTCACGTCTAACGGATTGGAAACACGACAGGCTCTTTTTGCTTGAAATCTACATTCATATCTCTGCAACGATGCAGAGATATGAATGTAGATGTATATGCATGTTTTATTGACTATCGAAAAGCATTTGACTATGTAAACCATCAAAAGATGATCGAAATTCTGAGAACAACTGGAGTTGACGAACTAGACTTGCGAATTCTCTCAGATCTGTACTGGCACCAAACGGCAACAATTGAAATAAAGCAAACATCATCAGAAGATATACAAATATGACGAGGAGTGAGACAGGGTTCCGTCTTATCATCGCTACTGTTTAATTTGCTCGGAGTCTATATTCAGAGAAGAATTAGATCAGGTTTAAGACAGAATTATGATTAACGGAATCAGCATAAACAACATCAGATACGCTGATGATACTGTCTTAACAGCAAGCAACGCACAAGAACTACAAAAAAAAAATAAATGCGGTAGTTTACCAGAGCGAAATGTTCGGTTTACATCTAAACGTTTCCAAAACTAAAACTTTAGGATTTTCACAGACACCAATAAACGTACATGTGTATGACAAAGGTCAAATGATAGAATAGGTAAATCCATAAAGTATTTTGGACCAAATATCAACAGTCAGTGTAATCCAAAAAAAGAAATAATATCAAGAATCGAAAAAGCAAGGAAAACATTCATAAGAATGAAAACATTTTTTACAAGATCAGACCTTAGTCTGCAGCTTAGAATCCGAATGATCAGACGTTACGTTTTTTCTGTCTTACTGTATGGCTGTGAAAGATGGACAAAGGACTCTGGAATAGAAAAAAGATTAGATGTCTTTAAGATGTATATATACAGACGAATGTTGAGAATTCCATGGGTACAAAGAGTTACTAATGTTGAGGTATTTCGTCGCATGTGTAAACAAAAAGATTTACTAAGAATAATCAAAGAGAGGAAAATGCAATATGGGTAATGTGTTGAGAGGCTAAAGATATGAATTACTTCAAGTTATACTAGAAGGAAAAGTACAGGGCAAAAGATGCAGTAGGAAGATGCCAGAACTCATGGCTGAAAGACCTGAGGAGATGGTTTGACCGCTCATCCGCAGAAATCTTTGACGCAGCAGTTTCCAAAACCACAATTGCCATTTAGATCGTCAACCTTCGAAAGGAGACGGTGCCATGAGAATCGATGATTTTTGCATAACCAGACTGGGTTAATAGACAAATAAAAAATATTATACACAATACTGGCCAGAAAAATATACGATTGATCGGTAAAAAGGCAAATTCACAATTAAGTGTAAAGTAATTAAAAAAAGTGAACTGGCACCTATTTAATATTTATTATATTATACTAATTAAAAAATATGTTACTTGTCTGTAAAGTGTCAGTGGTTTTTATAGTAAATAATAATTACGCAAAAATAATATTTTTTTAGGTTGACTTACCATGTGAATGCCCCTTTTTAAGATTTAAATAAAAGAATAATAACCAAACCAAAAAATTGGCAGTGTACATTTTCACTCCGAACTTATATTTACTAAAATAACAAAATTGGTGAGTATTATGTTCACCAGTATATTATTTATTTATAGGATATATTCTTGGGAAATACGGTAATCGCGTGATGGTGTGTGTTAATACTTGGGAATTCTTAAATGCTGCCAGTAGCACATAATATTATAATTTTATTCAAAACCACAAACAACTTAAATATTTTTTTTTATTTAAGAGATATTTTTTTGTATATTATCGTTATACACATACTTCTGGGTTAATTTTTAAAAGATCACAACCGCGCTTAACTAATATTCTCTTTCTTTTCTATGTGCAGAAAAAAACTGACATCCTTTTTTTACTTTAAATAATGCATCAACCACGCAGGGTCATTAGCGTATTTAGATTAATGTGACAATTGATACAAGTAATATATCGTCATATCCCGGCGAAAAGTCACTAACTGACATTTTGTGGAAAAACTCATTAACTTCGCCGATCACATGAAATTCATCATATCTTTCTATTATAAAAGTCACTACTTGCTAAATGTAGTTCTAAACGGCTATTTTTGTGTGTTAAAAAATACTAACCCGTTAATACAGAAAATATTAAGCAGTCAAATGTACCAAAGTGCCTTAGTAACTTTTTACATGCAAACAAATTGTAGAGATATGCGCTAAAACTCATTAATGGCACTTAGTGACTTTTTTTAGAATAATAAATCACTGCTGTGTTTGATTTTACACTTCTCTTTCTCAGTTATTGATATGTATTTAGTGAGTGAACTCGTATTATTTCGCTAAAAAAATATTCCTTGGTGACGTTTCTTGTTAGATATTGTTATACCAAGTTCCCGATCTTTAAAACTGGTAGAACTTGAATGATGTAAGTACAATATTATTTATAACTTCACTTTTCACATAACACTTAGAATTAGCCATAACGGAAAAAAGTATTTATTACGTGTATCACTTTTAGGAATCAAAAAGGGACTACGAATCTCATTGTACTAGTAAAATGGTGCAATCTAATATAGTTTTAGATGACAATACATCCATGATTTTAAATGAAACAGATGTACGCAACTTGGTAAGTTTGTTGATATTAACTTGTATGTACGTATTTACCAACTCTATAAATTTTAAGAATTTGACAAGTAATCATAATATTATGTTGACATTCAGCAAGATTTTGCAGACAGAGCAAGTTACGGAAAAGGAAGTCTATATGAATTACAGTAAAACATGTAACGATGGTGTTTTTACGGCAGAAGATAGACGAGGTAAAAAATCTCCTCATAATAAAATTAAACCAGAAGATGCGGCTTTTGTGAAACAACACATCGAGATGTTCCCTACAATAGAGTCTCATTATTGTAGGAAAAATACTCACAGATGTTACTTACATGAAAAATTGTCTACTAGAAAAAAGTTTTTCTTCAAACGTCAAATAATGATGACATTACTTATCTAACTTGACCATGTCAAAGTTTGATTTCTCCGCCGCGCCGGCAGAAGTTTTTTTTCCATTTTTTTACGGCGGAGGAAAAAATGTTGTCATGGCAACAATATGAAACATGTCACAAAGCAACAATACAAATGTCATTAACAACAATTAAACATCATTTTTATTTATAATAATATTAAAAGTACAATTAGTTAATGAGGCATTTTCAAAATTGAAACCACGCAAAAATGTTTCCGACTCTTGATACGCATTGGTAATTGTTGATGATACTGATGGTCGAGAACAACTTTCAGCAATCATTCCCGATGTTGGCGAATCATAAGAGTTTAAAATTTTTTGACCATTATCATTCTTATTTCTTATTGAATACTCTATATATCCTTTGGCAACCGTGCTTGATTTCCAGCCTCCATGTCGTTTGAGACATTCTAGATTTCCGCCTCCATCAATTAAAAGTGTTGCTGAAGTTCGTCCTAAAGAGTGACCCGTGTATGCGCTTGCATCGTTTAAATTTAAATAACTAGCTACTTTTTGGGTTACTGCGCTGATCGAATGTATTTCCATGACGCTTCGGTAACACTTTCCATTTTGGTACTTGATAAAAAATCGGTTTTCTGTGAAATTTTCAGGCCGCAGTGATGCATACTTTTTATACAGTTTAATGTAGTTTTTACCAATTATCGTAAAAGATCTAATTTTTCGTGTTTTACTGTCTGGGATTTTTATTACATTTTCTTTATCCTCAATGTACACAGTCTTCATTTTTACCATTTCGTCGCATCGACAGGCGCCGGTAACCCCAATTAACAAAACAATCTGAAATATTTTTATAATTTAGTAGAGTATACTACATGCTTTGCAATATAATTTTTTTACCTTTAATCCTAAATACAACTTATCTGGCGCTTCAAACAAAAATTTATCAAACTCGTCTTTAGTGAAAACTTTAGACTTCTTTGCAGCATATCCTTAGCTTGTTTTTTCAGAAAGGCACGCAACTTTAAAAATTTGCTTATATCCACATTTTTTCTAATAACTAACCCGGATTTTAACATAGAGTATCGTGACCATATTGTAGAAGATTTTTATTTATTTTTATTTTCCATTATATTAAAATATGCCAGTAAAAAGACTTCAGTAACTTGCCGTACTCCTCTTGTATTGCACCACTCTGGTGCAATACAAGAGGAGTATTGTAACGCTTGTACGCTAACCGATACTTTATTCCGGACTTGGAGGGCCCTAAACGTGCTACTGCATCATTAGCCGCGGACTCAATTTCGTTTAGGTTTTCCATTTTCGCACTAAATTTGCGCTTGCGGTTGCAACAACAATAAGCTGTCTTTAATAATTGCAAACAACTGTCAAACAACTATAATCAGGGAGACGCAAATCCCACTGACGACTTAATTATTTTAATTTCTAACATCTAGACGACTTTGATAGTTGTTACAGTTAATTTCGAGTAAAAGTAGCGTATGAATTGTACTATTTATGGTTGAAAATTGCTACGTTTAAAGAAAAAATAGTATACTTTATTCGGCAACGAAGCGACTTTTCTTGACTTGAACTCTATTACGCGCCTCACTTCGTTCGACGCGTAATATCGGGTGCGTCAAGAAAAGTTATGCTTCTCCGCCTCCTAAAGTAATATACTATTTCCTTGTATACCATCCATTTTTACGAGAATAATCGGGTTCCGGTGGGTCATTCAAAGTACAAAAAATTTTTTGCGAGTGTTATAATTTATCATTTTTTTTACCAAAAAAAAGATCAAGGCACCCTCTGTAATAAATTTAGAGATGCAAACAAATAGATTCTGTAACACCTGAATTAGAACAAAAATACAACGCCCACTTAGAAAAAAAAGGCAGGCCACAATTGCTAAAGAAGAATTTAAGATCATATCTAAAAATGACACCACATTTATGTTTGCAACGCTTGACATACAGAGTGTTCTTCAAATACCGTCTGGTGAAGAGTCTCTGTTATATTACTGTCGTAAACTTTGTCTTTATAATTTCACTGTTTACGAGTCACTGATTCGAAATGAAGCATATTGCATGCTGTGGTCTGAGGTGAATGGTAGAAGGGGCAGCAATGAAATTGGTACATGTTTAGTGCAGTGGATTAATGGACTTTTAAAGAATAATAAAGAGATTTCATTGTTTTCAGACACTTGTGGGGGTCAAAATCGCAATCAACACATCTCTGCGCTTCTGCCCTATTTGACCCAAACTACTCCTATTGAAATCATAGATCAGAAATACCTAGAATCCAGACATTCTTTTATAGAAGTTAATAGCATGCATAGTGCCATTAAAAGTGAAAAAGGCATGTGTCTGTTAATTCTGCTGTGGAGTAGATGAACATAATAAAAAGAGCCAGATCATACAGAAACTGAAGCCCCGCTAATCCCTACCATGTCAAATAGCTGCATTTTTCCGATATGTTGGATCTGAAAGATCTCTCAAAAGCCACAATTATAAATCGTCTCAAAAATGAGAATGGCAACACAGTCAGATGGCTTGAAATTAAATCTTTACGATATGAAAAATCAAATCCAGAATAAAATTTCGGTACAGTACAAAGCCCTATATTGCGAATGAAATAAAAAGAGCTTATAATCAACTACTGCCTATTAGTAACAAAAAAAGGTGGATTTAATGAAGTTATGTAAAAAAAAATTATACCAGAGGAACTGCATGGATGGTATGCATCTCTATAAACAGCCAATAATATTAGGCCAGGGAAATAAGCAAAAAAAGTAGCCTGTTTTTGACACTCGTCCGGCCAGGCAAACGACAGTTGTTTTGAGTAGTGTGGACCTCTGTAATAAAAACCTATATGTTTCCTGCAGTGGATTTTTTGGACTAAATTAGTTATTAACAAATTAAGTTCAAAAAACGAAAAATTTTTGCTTTTTTCGGCTATCAGCAAAAAGTGAAGCAATTTAAACAAATTTTAGAAGAGAGAAAACTTTAAGTTATATAAAAACCTTTAAAATGGCGTCTTGAAAATGTTTCTATCCTTATTTGTTGCTTAGAAAGTTGCAAAATAAGTCAAAAATTTCGGTTTTTTATAAATGTTAATACCTTTTTTGAAAATAAACTTATAATATTTATATTTCATGGAATGATGTGTCTTGTAGTGCATAAAATAGGGTTAAAATTTCACAGTGATCGGTCCAATAGTTTAAAAGTTATTTTATTTGTTTATCCCAAATTAACATTTTTTGCAATAATATAAGTCAGAAATTTATACAGTTTTAGAAATTGTAAGGGTTGTTTCTGGTAGAAGAAGACATTATTTATTATTTACATTAAAAAAAAATAAGAAAATTAGTTTTAAATATTGCAAAATAATTTTGCAAAAACATGTCGATTTTTTGCTTAAAAACAATTAGAATAACTTTTAAACCGTTGACTATAGAAATATTATTTTTACATATTTAAAAAGCTAGAATTTTTTCACAAATTTAAATAAAAAAAGTTAGTCCTAAAATAATTTGGTACAAAGTTAGCCTCTTTTTTTATTTAATTCATACCACC